CAGCATAGAATTTCAACAATTTATTCTTCTCCTTCTTCCAGTTATATATGGTAGTCATTCCAACACCATATTCTTCTTTAAGACGTCTCACACTTACACCACTGTCCAATCTCTCCAATAGCTTGACTTTCTATGCTATAAACGTAAATGCTTCCTCTTTTTCTTTCCACTGTTATGGGGTATCTGCAGCCCTTTTTGACATTTTCAACAGTATCTTTCTACCACAGAGCAAAGAATAAGGAAAAAACACAATGAGTAATGCACATAGGTCTTGGGTCCATTTGAAGCATTATGGAGAACCTGCTAATGGGGTATCTGGCTTGCATACATGCCATTTTATCACCTTTGTGGGTGTGCTTGTGCTGGGGAAATCTATGGGTGCACAGAAAAGACACATTGCAGTTGAAGGGGATTAGAAGGGTCTTTTCTCCTTGGGTATGCTGAGTAACCGGTGTGTTATGCACCTGTGTTTTGGCTGCAAACTGTTATGACAGGTCAGATATGGAATTTTCCACTTGTGGCATCATGTTGGTACTCATTTGGAGCATTTCAGATTTTGGAGTTTTGAATTAGGATACTCAACCTGTAATTGTAGTTTGTTTTTATAATTGTATCTAATCTGGTAATCTCTGCCTTTTGGTGGATGATTTGATCCATTTGCCTTTAATGTTATTGTTGCTATAGTTGGATTGTATCTGTTGTTTTACTTTTTGTCTTCTGTACATTTTAACGTTTTTCTTTTTCTTCCTTTTTTTTTTTTTTTTTTTTTTGAGACAGGGTCTTGCTCTCTTTCCCAGGCTAGAGTGTAGTGGTGTCATCATAGCTCCCTGCAACCTCAAACTCCTGGGCTCAAGTGATCTGCCTGCCTCAGCTTCACAAGTAAGGTGTGCACCCTTATGCTCAGCTAATTTTTCTAATTTTTGTAGAGGTGGTGTCTCACTCTGTTGCTCATGCTGGTCTTGAACTTCTGGCCTCAAGTGATCCTCCTGCCTTGGCTTCCCAAAGTGCTAGGATTATAGGTGTGAGCCACTGCACCCGGCCCCCTTTTTTTTATATTAAGTGAATATTTTCTAACATTTTAATCCTTTAATGATTCTTTCACTATGTATTTTTTAGTTAATCTCCTAGTGGTTGCTCTAGAACTCACCACATATATCTTAATTTATCAAAATTGACTTCAGATTTATACTAATTTAATTCTAGTCAGATATTGAAATATTACTCCTATATATCTCTATTCCTTCTTCCTTCTTTTTGTACTATTACTGTCATACAACTTACATCTATACATATTAAAAACTCAATAATTACAGTTATAATTGTTATAATTACTACTTTATATGATTTTATGTTTTTTAAAGAAGCTGAGAGAAGAAAGGGAGCAAGTATATATTTACAGAATTTGTTATATTAACCTTAACTACCATTCTGGTTTTCTTCATCTGTTCCTGTGGAGTAACAGGGGTTCCAGAAAAACAAAAACATGGATGGGAAGTATTTGAGGAAAGTTTTTCCATAATTAACAACTATGAAACATAAAAAATGAAAGATTGAGATTGAGAGGGTTAAAAGAACACCAAAAAAGTGAAAAGAAAAAATGCACATCTTCATATCTTTGGAAATTTAGGTAATCTAACTGAAACCACCCTAAGCCTTCAAAATAATGCATTAATGACAAATTATACACATGCATACTTATTGGTATGGAGATGTACTATATGTGGAAAAATGTGTTAAAAAACTAAATATAATTCCATTTATCATACCATATCATTTGGGGCAGGGAGAAAGAGGAGGAGGAGGGGAAGGAGAAAAGGGAGGAAAAGGGGAAGGAGGAGGAAGGGGGAGTAAGAGGAGAGGGAGAAGGAGGATATATATCAACACGTTAACTATGGGTCATGGCATCATGAATGAATTTTATATTAAGGTTTTTGGTTGCATGTATTTTATAATTTTTAATACTTATTTTAAGCAAAAAGAACAAATTGGGAGGCATCAGTCTGCTAGACTTCAAACTTTACTATAAGGCTACAGTAACCAAAACAGCATGGTACTGAAATAAGAACAGAGAGATAGACGTTTGGAATAGGACGGAGAAGCCAGATACAAAACCATCCTCATACTGTCATCTAATAAATATACATTGGGGAAAATAATCCTTATTCAACAAATGTTGCTGGGAAAACTGGATATCCACATGCAGAAGACTGAAACTGGATCCCCACCTCTCACAAAAATCAACTCACGATGGATAACAGACTTAAGGCGTGAAACCTTAAAAATTCTGGAAGAAAATGTTGGGAAGATTCTTTTAGACATCTGCCTCGCCAAAGAATTTATGAAGAAGACCCTCAAAGCAATCACAGCAGCAACAAAAATAAACAAACAGGACCCGATCAAATTAAAAAGCTTCTGCACAGCCAAGGAAACTATCATTAGAGTGAAGAGACAACCTATAGAATGGGAGAAATTACTTTCTACACATTCGATAAAGGGCTGATAATAAGAATCTACACAGAACTTAAGAAAATCAACAAGAAAAAAAATCAAACGACCCCATTAATAAATGGGCAAAGGACATAAACAGAAAATTCTCAAAAGAAGACAGAATAATGGCTAGCAAACATATAAAAAAGTGCTCAACATCTCTAATCATTAGGGAAAGGCAAATCAAAACCACAATGAGATATCGCCTAACTCCAGTGAGAATGGCCTTTATCAAAAGGTCCCAAAACAACAAATGCTGGCGTGGATGTGGAAAGATTGGAACACTCTTAACATTGCTGGTGGGACTGCAAATTAGTACAACCTCTGTGGAAAGTAATTTGGAGATACCTCAAAGAGCTAAAAATAGAAATACCATTTGATCCAGCAATGCCACCACTAAGCATCTACCCAAAGGAAAAGAAGACATTTAATAAAAAAGACACTTGCACTCAAATGTTTATAGCAGCACAATTCACAATTGCAAAGATGTGGAAGAACCCAAGTGCCCATCAATACATGAGTGGATTAATAAAATGTGGTATATGTATACCATGGAGTACTACTCAACTACAAAAAACAATGGTGAACTAGCACCTCTTGTATTATCCTGGATAGAGCTTGAGCCCATCCTTCGAAGTGAGGTATCATAAGAATGGAAAAACATGCATCACATGTACTCACCATCAAATTGGTACTAACTGATCAACACTAAGGTGTTCACATGGTAGTAATACTCATTGGGTGCTGGTCAGTTTGGGGGGTTGAGGGGGGTAAACTCACAACTAATGGAAGTGGAGCTCACTGTATGGGGGAAGGGCATGCTTGTAGCCCTGGCTTGGGTGAGGCAAATGCATTAAATGTATCCTCATAATATCCTGAATTAAAAAAATAATTAAAAAACAATGTGTATGTCATTAAGCAATAAACTTAAAAATTTAATCCAGCAGAAATGTGTGAAACATATGAAAAAGGCAAGTCACTTGAGATGAAATAAAAATGGCCAAATATATAAATTCAGCCTCTCTAGTAATCAAAGAAATATAAATTGATACTTTATTCTTAATTTCTCAAATTGGAAAATATTTTTCAGAGGAAAATACCTACTGTTAGTAAGGGTTCTAGGAAATATGTTCAATACCTTGTTGATAAAGATACAAACTGATACCCTTTTTCTTTTTTAAAAATATGCCTACCCTTTAACCCAGCAATTACTTACTTTTCTGGGAATTTATTCTATGGAAAAAACTGTGGATATAACAACTATTTAGCTATAGCTATTAGAGGATATTTAGGAGAGCATTCCATAAAAAATTTGGGGTATACGGCAATTTAGATTTAATCCAATGGAAATAATCTGAAAGTACAAACAGTATGTAAGGGTATATGGGTTAAATGTCCCTAATCTGAAAATTGGGAATCCAAAATGCCCCAAAATCCAAAACTTTTAAGCACTGACAAGACACTCAAAGATCATGCCCAAAGGAAATGCTCACTGGAGCATTTAGGATTTGGGATGCTCAACCGCTAAGTATAATGCAAATATTCCAAAATCCAAAAAAAATCTGAGATCCAAAAATCTGGTCCCAAGCATTTTGGATAAGGGATACTCTATCTGTATATTAAAAATAATGAATGCTAACTTTTAATGAAGTTTTTTTCCCGGGTATTAGAATTACTAGTATTACAATTTATTTTCTTCTGCTCACCTATGTTTTCTAATTACCTATAATGGACAATGAATTATTACTTTTGAAATGGATAACAGTCATTTAAAAATAATATAACAAGCTGCCAGAAGAAATGGCTTATTTTTTTCTATTTCAACAAATATTTCCAAAGAATATATTCAACATTTAGATAACTTTTTGAACAATATGAAGACAGCTGAGTTGGTTATATTTGCAAGCACCATCAAGGATTGCAGCCCCTCCCTCCTTTGGTACTGAGCAAAAACAAACTATTGTGTTACACAAGCTAGGGATAAAAAGAAGTAAGGCAACTAGATTTTTGGCTTAAATGAGAGATAGCAATGGGAGAAAACGATGTGTAAATTCACAATTATAAATCAAAGTATATTTGACAGTGTCAAGGAAAGGGAGTGATGATTTCAACCGAAAGAACAAAGACATGTTCTTATACACAAATCATCTACAATTTGCTTTTCTTTCCCTCTCCAGTTTACCATTGAACCACTGAGATCATAAAACTAAAATTCACCTTATCTATTCCCACATACTATATAAATCCTTACTAGTCCTACTTATCCCTCAGGGTCTGCTTACATGTCACTTCACCTTTGTTTCTGTGGGTAATAGCACTTCTCTTGATATGCCTATGTCATGAATTCAGTACTTGTTCCCTTTCTTAGACTGAGAGCTCCAAGAGGACAGAGACTAAGTCTAATCTAACTTAGCATCCTCAGGTTGAGGCAGCTTCACAGGGTATGCATCATGACTTTTTCAAGCTTTGTGCATGTGTTTAACCTCTCGGCAAGGGAAACTCAGAAGTCATACCTGGTAGGGTTCCTTTTGTCTTCCTCAGAGATCAAAAACCAAACAAAATCTGCATAGCTCATTCTTCCCTCTTTTTGTACAGTTTTTCCCCTGAAGAAAATACATGGTTATAAAATTTCCTGAGCGATTACTCAGATACATTTAGTAGAATAATGGACTAAGAAATAAAGTAACATCCTTCTTTGGAAATTTAGTTAAAATTTTTAAAAGTTTAGAATGCTGGATGCCTCATAAAGGGCAACCCTTCCATGGCATATCTTCTTTTCAGAGGCCTAGTGGGTAAAATCAGAAGGCATCTGGCAAATGTGAAGAAAAGAAATCTGGTTCCTAATTTGAATGCAAATAAATAATCACTGGGATCAAATACTGTTACCTGTATTTAGATATAGGATTAATAGTCATATTAAAGAATTACTGTCTTATATAATATTAACCATGAGTATGTTTTATAGGATATTATTTGGCCTAGCAGCACTGCCAAATTATGCAGGAAGTCTTGCTAAAATGAGATTGTTACAGTATTACTTGCAGTTCATTTTTAAACTCAGATTTTGAACTACTACTTACCTTGTTACTGCTCCAGAGAATATTCTTTCAATAATTCTGTTTGATGAAGCTAAATATAAATAAGAAATTACAAAGCTAGTTAGAAACATATTCCACAATGGTAATACTTTTAGCAAATTTATTTTTATTAGCTATAAGGTAAACCATAACAATCTTCCATCATGAGAATATGACTAAATTTTTCTTATGTATGATTTATACTTTTTGGAAGAATTTGAGGTAGCTCACCATCCATTAATCAATAATTTTTAAAAAGAACAGGCAAATGAATGTCCCTGATATCTGGGAAGTATTTATATAGTTGAGTGCTAAGTTAATTCTGAACATCCTGACAACTAAGATGAAAATGTATAGGATTTGTATTGATTTTGTTATCCAATAAGATGAGACATATTTTCCTATAAAATAATAGAAATTTTATCCTAGCATTAAATTCAAGGGAGAACTGATTGTGTAGCTCCTAATACAATATAATATAAAACAAAACAGAGTAAAACAATGGAGAATGCTTTCAAGTAGAATTTTATAAGATACTAAAACATACCATAAACGTACTTTTATATTTGCAGTCTATGAAAGTCCAACATATAACATGATATAACATAAAATTTTTAGACTTCTATCAGTAAGTTTTATTTATAGAGAAAGACAATTTTATCTTAAGATAGTATGTTGTTTACGATGATATATCCTAGAGAATCTCTGGTGGTTTCAAAATAACCAAAGGCATTAGTTAAAAAAAAAAAAAAAAAAAAGAGGGCCAGGTATGGTGGCTCATGTCTGTAATCGTAGCACTCTGGGAGGTCAAGGTAGGATCACTTGAGGCCAGGAGTTCAAAACCAGCCTGGGCAACATAGTGAGAACCCTGTCTCTATAAAAAGCAGAAAAAATTAGCCAAGTGCAATGATGCACACCTGTAGCCCTAGTTAATCTGGCTGACGCAGGACGATCTCTTGAACCCAGGAATTTGAGGCTGCAGTGAGTTATGATCGTACCACTACACTCCAGCCTGGGCCAGAGCTAAACCCTATCTCCATAAAAAAAAAGAAAAAAAGGCCCAGGGATCTCAGACACGTTCTTTTAACAAGTGCCCCAAGCAATAGCATGCACACTAAAATGTCAGGACCAGTGATGAGGTTATTAGGAATTTAGCAGCTATCCACATCTAATTCTTCTGCATAGAGTTAGTTAGGTATAGTCAGCATAAAGGTTCATTAGTTTGATGAAGAGAATATGTCTATCAGTACAGCCATACGTGGCCACACATGGAAGCTTATATAAAGACCTTCTATACTTTGAACATTGGTTTATAGAGTTAATAATTAGTACTAGATAGGAAAAAAAGAGGGCTATATAGGAAAGGCAAGAATATTTAATTCCAAAGCTCATATCTTTTTAAAAGGCATTTTTTTTTTTTTTTTTAGCTTTAGAAGGTTTAGCCTCCTAAATTGAAGATTGTATTGTTCCATGTTATCTCCTTAGGGACAGTCTGGCGAGTGGTTAATTATGTAGAGTTTAGTGGTTCCTTCATTTATGCAGGCGTAGAGGCCTGCTTTTCTGGACTTCACCCCATTACTATGGATGGCTCTTGACTTGCTATGTGAGTATATACAATATTTGGAGACTTAGTAAGAATTATGTTTATATCATCCAGAGAGGGAGCTTTAAAGCCATAGGGTTGTGCATGATCTCTGGACCCTGGCTCATGTTATACAGATGATCTGTTTACTGGTAATAGGAAGATGCACAGCTAACAAAGCTGACCTGATACCCTTAAATATCTTCATCTTTCTGGTATTCTGGTGACAGAAAGGTTATGACTACCTGAAGAAGGGATATAACAGTATTAATATATTGATCAAATAAGTACATTTGAGTAGTTCCCCTTGATGTCTGCTTGGCATCTGAACATTTGAGAGTGAGAACTCTGTTTCCTAAATATGCAAAGCTCCATGAAACTTGACATCATGTATGATGAGCCTTTTCTTAAGCTGTATGCCACTGGTCACAGATATACCAAATAACAGAAACAATTCAATGCATTTATGTAAGATTTACTCTACTACATCTAAAAAGCTAAAGTCTGATTTAAAAAGTCAACAGTGCCTGAGAAGACATTTAAGAATAGAGCAGGGACAATCTTATGAGAGAAGAATGAATGAATGTATCTTGGTGCATGGTTAAGAATGTGAAATCAGTAGGCAATAGGTTCTAAGTTTACTAGAACTGAAGCAAAAAGGGTACTGAAGCAAAAAGGGTAATATCATAAGTAATTTTTTGTTTTCTGTCAAAAGAAAGCACAAAAAATTCATCTGTAGAGACAATATCTTTTGGAATTAAATTCCCAAAAGTAAGTTTTTATGAGTCCTTGAAAATAAACTTGACAAGTCAGAAACATTATTTTCATCCTTGGCTTTTTGTAGAAATACTGTTAAATGGGAAAGTTTATAAAGGTATATACATATTCTCTTTCAAATAGATTTACACAGGTGTGAATCTTATTCAGTTCATCAGCAGAAAATACACATCACTATAAAGACCCACCACTTCATTAATACTAAGACTGATTGCTTACTTACCTCCAAACCCCTTCTGCCACACCTGGCCTTTAAATAAAAAAATTAAATTATCTTTGCACATCTTAAAAATTCTTGGCCCTGTAAAGATGACTTGATTAGATATAGAATTTAGGAAATAGGAATGTCTCATAATGAGTAGGGACAATTTACATGACTCTTCAAAATGGTTAAGTCTTAACATCTACAGTCACTCACCCTGGTCATTGTATCGAGATAGATCAGCCTGGCTGATGTAGAGGTCATGATCACTATCTAGTTCCCAGAATTTACAATAAATAACATAGAAATGTTCATAGGAGAAGTAATCTGTGATTTGGTTTATATCTTCTTCTTCTTCCAAAAGGGCTAGAGTCTGAAATGGCATAAAAAGAAGGACTAATTTCAAAATTATGAAAAACCAGCTTCGGCCACTGTACAGAGTCTAGCAAATGTTTGTTTTAAATTGAATTTGCAATTTTGTTTTTGGTAACAAATCAGGAACTTTTTAATAAGCGACTTCACCCTACCTTTAATTTTCTATAATATGCTTAACAAAGGATTAGATGCTCTGGAGGATACAAAAGCAAGGAAAGAGAAGGACCATTACTAGGAGGACTATAACCAGTCAGAGGTCCACAGACTGGCAGGCACAGAACAATTAGACAACAGGTTTAATTATACAGCCATAAACTAACACTGCTTTTTAATTTTTCAAAGTTACGTGAGCAATATTAAGAGTAGGCATCCACATACCAGGTTCAGTTTTGTAATGAAATCAAGTTTACCATAAACGATACTTATATATACAACAGTAATGACACATGGTGGCCTGGCATAGAACTTAGGAAACAGAAAAAACAAAATGAGACCAGATATATCAACAGTCACAATAAAGACAGATGAGTTAAATTTCCCTATTAAAAAATTTCAATTGGGTATCAAAACCTAATCCAAAAAACAAATCCAGGTATATACTATCTACAAGAGATATACCTAAAATAAAATTAAGAAGGAAGGCTAAAAAAAAATATGGACAAACATATACTAGTCAAATGTTAACAAAAAAGAAAGCATATCAATATTAACAGAAGATAAAATAAATTTCCCTATTAAAAAATTTCAATTGGGTATCAAAACCTAATCCAAAAAACAGATCTAGGTATATACTATCTACAAGAGATATACCTAAAATAAAATTAAGAAGGAAGGCTAAAAAAAAATATGGACAAACATATACTAGTCAAATGTTAACAAAAAAGAAAGCATATCAATATTAACAGAAGATAAAACAGAATTCAAGGTGAAAACGTAAGAGAGAAAGAGGACTGTTTCATAATACAAGTGTATTACTGTGATAAAATTTTTTAAATGTAAACATTGGAAAGCCAAAACACTTTTGAAAATTGAAAACAACATAAATTATTAAATGGTAAAGCTGTTCAATGGAAGATTATGCAGCCAGTAAAAATTATTAAGTCTACACAGAAATAAAAGAAAACCATGATGTGGTAAGTAAAAAATATAGGATACAAGATTGTATACACTAATAACTATGTAAAATCCTAAAATTCATATATGCGTATGAATGAAACTAGAACACACACAAAAATGATTCCAGTTGTATTAGGGTGGTAAAATACAGTTTTTCTTCTTTTTTCCAAACTTGCTTGTAATGTTTTGTTTTATAAAATGTCCTTTGATGTGTATGAAGTAGAATACTTTCAATAAAACAACTCTTCAGAAGCAAAGAACTATCATTTCACCCACTGGATTGTCATTAAATAAAGAGGACAGATAAATTCTATTGTTGGTGACTATATAAGTGAAAGTATGAACTAGTGCAGCTTTTAAGAGGGTAACTTGGCAGGATCTATCAAATTAAAAATGCATATACTATTAATATTTGATCAAGGATTTTCTCTCCAGTGGTCTATTCTAGAGAAATTCTTACTCATATACACACAAGAGGAAAGAACAAGGATGTTCACTGCATCATTGTAATAGAGGAAATCTGAAAATGATTTAAACATCAATAGAATATGTAATTAGTTTAGCCATGCGATTGATCACGCAGTAGTTAAAAGAATGAGATAATTTATATGAATGGAAATGAAAACAACCTCGAGACACTTGTTAAGTGAAAAAAACAAGTTAACAGAATAGTATGAACCCATGGAGTGAAGAGATAAATAGCAAGTTCTGCTTATTTATTATTATAGATGTGTTCGTATTATTTGAATGTTTTGAGTATTTGTTTAAATACTAAGAGGAAGAGTAAGGAGAGTAGCGGGGAAGGAGAGAGAGGGGAAAATAAATCATGCTCTAGGAAGCACATGAGTTCTGTTTCCAGTTCAGCAACCTGCTGGTTGTGTGATCTTATATAAGTCATTCACCTATATTTAATCTCTAGCTAAAAAAAAGTTTTTTATCATTATAATAATGATTCAAAAAGTACAAACTATAATGTGCTTCAGGAACATGAGGGATTATTATTCTTGAGGTAATATGGAATTACTGCCATCTTAACCCATCCCATATTATTAATAAAACTAATGAGAGCCCAAGCAGGCATTAGGTGTTCAATAAATATCAACGATGACTGTGATGATGACTGTTCATTCTGGAATAAAAAAATGTTTGTATATCCATCATGGATTGATAATTTTGATAAGCCTTTATTACTTTGTCTGTCCCAGATGAAGACAGGAAAAAATAAAGAGTAAATAAGGTTATATTATTAGCCTAAGCTTCATTTAGTATGATTCATTTAAAATAAAACATTTTATTTCCTTCCAAGTGTGAACAATTCCACTTTCTTTAGGTTTATGGAAGCTTAAACAATCAGACATGAAGATTACCTCGGTAAAAGGCTCCCACTAGTGGTCAATACTCACTCTCTCATTTGGTAAAATAAATAAAATAATTGAATGAAATGTATTCTTTCTTAAAAGAAATTTTTAGCAGGTACTGGATAAAGAGTCATTGCTGACAGGATCAAGTCCAAAATCTTTCATTCCTTTTGTAAGGCTCTTCCCAACCTGGCCTCAGCCCACGCCCTTTCAGCCCCGTCTCTGGTCACACTCTGGGAGCCTTTGGACACTAAAGACTGTTTGGCAGTTCCTGAATATGACATTTGCATGCTTCCAGCCTTTGCTTATGCTGCTTTCTCTATCTGGAATCCTCTTTCTTCTAATATTTTATCTTGGTAAACTCCTGATATCCTCCAGGGTCAAGATCATATGCCAGTCCTTCTGTGAACCCTCTCTGCACCTTTTATAAAGGTCTGTGGAATTTATCAAGTCAGGTGTGGTACACCTCTTTCTTTTGCTCCACAGTGCATGCCTCATGCAGAGATCCTTTGTTATTCTATTCATCTTTGTCTCCCCACCCCAAACATCCCAGTGTCCCATCATAGGTATGTGATAAATGCTTAATGACTAAAAGTAGTGACCGTGCTTTGCATAGAGTAAGTACTCAAATATTTGTTAAATGAAGTAAGGAAATTATTTAAATTGCTCTTTATATGTGAAATTCAGTGAGAGGCATACTTGCAAAAAGTTGCTTTTTCTTATCTCTGTCGAAGTAATTTTTCCGCTCCAAGATCTGTTGACTGTGTAGAATATTCTCTGAATAACCTGGTTCCCAAGGGAAAACAAAACCAAATAAAAACATTAAATATCTCTGTTACTGTATCAAAGCCCATCTTATGAATATGTTTGGAACCAATTTAAGTTTTGGTTTTTTGATTATGTCAAATGTAATTTCTTATAAAAATTAATGCTATATTTTAAAATCTACATATATTTTGAATATGCCTCTATAATTCTGAGAAGAATAAAAAAATTCTCTGCTCACAAGTCTTCATTTCCCAGTTGCCTACACATCACTTCCTTTGTTTACCTCTCATTTATACAGTGATGCCTGATTCAACTAATACTTATTGGGCTATATGTTTTTTTTTTTTGAGACAGAGTCTCACTGTCTTGCCCGGGCTAGAGTGCCGTGGTGTCATCATAGCTCACAGCAACCTCAAACTCCTGGGCTCAAGTGATCCTCCTGCCTCAGCCTCCCGAGTAGCTGGGACTACAGGCTAATATTTTTTCTATATATTTTTAGCTGTCCAGTTAATTTCTTTCTATTTTTGGTAGAGACGGGGTCTCGCTCTTGCTCAGGCTGGTCTCGAACTCCTGAGCTCAAACGATCTGCCCGCCTCGGCCTCCCGGAGTGCTAGGATTATAGGTGTGAGCCATCGCGCCCGGCCTGGGCTATATGTTTTGCGAGGGCAAACGAGGTGGGAAGTAATCTGCTGGGTTGGCTTAATGATTGATTAATCAGTCAGAAGGATGGCTGTCAAGGTGGTATAATTCAAAAGTGCATTATTCTGATTATTATAGCCTTATTCACTGGAGTCTTAAAGACTCCTGGTCTTTCAGATTCGTAAACTCAAATACATCTCGGTAATTTATTTCCTGATCTTTATTTGGGCGTGAACATCTTTGTTATTAGATAGTGTTTTAATGGGTTTAATAGAAGTGCAACTCTGGAGAAGACCCTGGATAGGGTGGAGAGAAGAGGAGACGGAAGCAAACGTGTGTGCTGGGGATGTGTGTGCTGTGGTATAGGAGAGGATCAGAGAAGGAAGAAGACAGAGGCTGCAGTCCTGGAAGTAGGAGGTCACAGTGCATTCCTAACAATTTTACCTGTGATTATTCCTACCCACTCAATTTCCTTCTTTCACCTATTATTTTTTTCTTCCAAAGGAAACAGTGGTTGAGAAGAGCAATTTAAGCAGCTTTTTTGGTACTTTGGCTTTTATTTTGATAGTCTAATAATACAGAAATCCTGTATCCTTCGTGGTTTTGTCATGGAAAAGGTTAGATCTCTTTTTCAAACTATTTTGGTGCAAGAAGAACAAAGAAGTAAAGACATTTGGACATCTTTCCAAAGAGAAGGCTTAATGAGGTACTAAACCACCATTCTGCTTCTGAATTCTTCAGCAAAGACAATGATGCTCAAACTGAATGGGGAAAAATTAGCATCAGGATGAAGGTTTAGATTTCTACTGCCCAGCATTTACCACCGATAGCACTGTCTGCTATCAGTGCTAACCTTGTCTGACCCCCCAGAATTGAGCCCAAACGCCACACTCCACAGGAGGCCCCAGGACAGGGACTGGGTTAGAATTCTGCCTTCTGTGCTCCCACTGCCACCTGAGCCCCCTTCAGTCATCGCTGTGGTCATTTCTAAACACTGGTGTGCACCTGACCATCACCACTTCCACACACCAGGGGACCAGGTCTTTCCTGACTTGTGTTCTGGTATCTGATATGGAGCTTTCTATATACATCAGGTGGTCCATAATTGCTTGATAAAGTAATGAGGTTTGGAAGCTGTATAACAAAGACTTTTGTAATCTTTGTGATAGAGAAATACAGGTTGGTTTCATAGCTAGTTGAACAATTCTATTCAGAGTTTGGCATAGCAGATAGATGCCAACCCAAGACAGGTCTCTAATTAGTATTTCACATAAATCACTATTTCTTTCTATGATTTATAGATAGAATGCATATAAAATGTGCAAAAAGCATAAAACAGAAAAGCTTAACTGCATTCAAAATGATTGTGAAGATGCTACTAATGTAGTGATGTTTAATCTCAAGGAAAAAATAAGACTATAGATATGCGCATGATCTGAATGGCTGACTACTGAGTAGAAGAAGAAACTGACTTGTTATGTGTTGCACCAGAGGGCAGAATTAGAACTGCTAGATGGAGATGCCCTTATACTGAAAATGCTTCAAAATAAGGAAGTTTCCTAAAATTAGCCTTATGAAATAATGTGTTTGTATGAAGGTAAGGTTTCTTTTCACCACAGACTTGACAGGACTCCTGCATTACGTAGGAGCTGGGACTAGCTGGTGCCCAATTTCTCTACTGGCCTCAATCACTCAGACTCTGAGGTCCTTGAGAACAGAGAATGTGTCTTGCTCAACACTGTGTTCTTAGCACAAGCTTGGCAGAAATTCATATAAAAATGATGGGGGATTTTTAGCATGGAAATTATATATATGAAAATAAACATTAAGAATTTCATTTATCATAATTTCACTTCCCCTCTCTCAAGTTAAAGTCAATTTCAATACATTACACCAAATTTTTCTTTGTTGAACATTAGATTTTTGTTATTTCTTGATTTTGTATATAAATTTATCTTAAATTCTGAGTTTCCTATCTAAATTTTATATTTATATACTCAAATATTTTATATTATTTATGGAAGTACTGTGTTAAAAATTATACAACTTTAATCTGTATCCAGTTCTGCTATTTTATTTTTCTCTTCTTTTGTTTCTTTTGCCAGAATTTTTAAAATTTGCAGTTGGCTATTAGGCATTTCCTATTTTTAGCCTCTGCTAACCTACTTATCTAATACTATTAAACAATGTACCTGTAGTCCATTTTTCCATAGCCTAAATCTCCTTATTCAGTGGCCCCACTTCATCAGCACATTTGTTGGTTTCCACATGACTGATTCAGCATTTTAGATAATCAAGGTAGGGCCACCATCTAGTGGTGAAAGCATACACCTGCTGGTTCTACATTAATTACAGTTGTTATTTTTCTAACTTTTGGTCTACCACTTTTAAGTGAATAAAAATAAATCACCATTTAAAAAATGTCAAACAAAACTTAAAAATAAACCATAATTAGAATAATCATTTACTACCAGTGAGAGAAATGAAATTTGACAATCTCTCACCAAGCGATCTCTAGTCAACTTGACAGGTTGAATCATGAGCCAGTTTCCTTTCTTCTTTTTATCTGTGGAATTGGAAGCCTCTAATTCACAAATATAGGTCACCAGGAATGGAAGTAAGCGTTTGGTGGCTCTGTTGTGTAGTTTTTGATAAGCGAATTAAATGCAAACACAGAAATTGCAAAGGATTTCTCACTATAGATGACATGACTGCAGAAAAACATACTCAAATGCTGTAAACCTGGCTCTGCCACTTGGCAGGGAGGAGTGAATGGATTTCTAATCCACTCTTTAGTTAACATGGCTCTGAAAAGTATTTGTTCAAGTTCTGCTTTAGAAGTTGGACTTTAAATAAAAATGATTTCATTCTCTGTCAAGAAGAAAAGTTTTCAAGGGGAAGAGTTAATAAGCTCTTAGTGATAAGCAGTCTTCACCACAGCTTAGTCATCTTAAGAAACATCAGTACCTTGTCCTCAACAATTAAAATCCTGGCATTTCAGCCTGAAGTGATGGATTCAGGCCAATCATGATACTGAATATATGACTAAGACACCATCTGAGCAAGCCACAGAAATATCTTTACTGCCAGCACCAGTGTCATAAAGAAGTATTTTAAATCTCATCACTTATTTTAAAAACTCAAGTGAGGACTTCTTTCCTCAAAAGTCAGCATATGCCAGTTTGGATAAGCAGAGGCTTTTTTATTCACTGGCAATCTCTGCACAGCATGTAAAACTGCAAACTCAAGGGCTACAATTTGCTGGTATTTCTGATTTTCATTTTCATTCAGTAACAAAGGCTTATTTCTTAACTGCTAACTCTTTTGGGAAATAAAAAAGAATATGGACTGACTTTAGGTGCAATCTCTTATTTGGGTAGTGATGTCCTTCTTTACAGTATACATAGCTGGTGCTCTGTCTTTCCAGTCTAAAAATAGCTGACAAAATAATTAACTAAATAGTCTTCCTATAACATAGATTTTCGATGATAAATAGAAAATAAAAGTTGTCCAATTTTTCTTCATCATATATATATCACACATAAGCTAATATTTGGGTCACACTTTGTGTCAGTGGTTTCTTCCAACTACAAACTGAAATAACCGAATAACTCTAGGATGCAAACAGATTATAATTGTTCTTCTATATGGTATGCCACTGAGATTATATAGCATTCAATAGGGTCATATGATAAAATGATTTTGCTTTTTCTGAGATATTTGTCATTAATTCTGAGGCTGATCTTTGTAAGTTTCTCAGAAATACTGTGATCTTACGTTTTTGCCAAGAGCAGGGTAGATAATGATGCCTTTCTAGTTACTTTCACACCTAGTAACAAATTAATTTCATACTAAATGGTCTTACTTTGTATTTGTTCTAGAAAAACTCACTGTACTATGAAATAATGCAAAGGTTTCAATGATTTGCAATGAAACTTGGCCATTATTTGACCAAGTTTTGTAACAAAAAAGGCACTGGGGAGAATGGATAAGCAGTCTGATAAAATTCTATTTCCAGATATGTGTTGTTAAACTTTTTATTTGCACTTTTCAATTTTGGGTGGTAGTATCAGATTATCATGACAGCAGTTATGCACTTAGCAAAGACAGATTCACATTCTATATTCCTAATTAGGCCTCTTTAGTCTTTATGTTATGATGCTATTTTGAGGTGTCATATTATCATTATTTCATCACAAGTATTTTACACTTTAATGACTACTTCTGAGTAATAGATTCATTTTTGTGAACTGAGGATAAAGCAGCATAATACAACAAAGTGTAAATTTAACCAATGTAAACAATAATATACAAATGCCATGAAAATATGACAGTAGAGATAATTAACTATATTTTGTTAATTGACCAGTGTAGTTCTTTCTGTTCAACAGCTATTTTATTTATTTATTTATTTATTTTAGAGACCAGGTCTTACTCTGTCACAGGCTGCTGGAGTGCAGTGGCACAATCACAGTACTGTAACCTAGAATTCCTGGGCTCAAGCGATCCTCCCGCTTCAGCCTCCTGAGTACCTAGGACTACAGGCGTGCAAGACCATGCCCAGCTAATTTGTTTATTTGTAGAGATGGGGTCTTGCTATGTTGCCCAGTGGTCTTGAACTCTTGGCCTGAAGTGATCCTCCCTCCTTGGCCTCCCAAAGTGCTGGGATTACAGGCGTGAGCCACCGTGCCCAACCTTGTTCAATGATTATTAACATGATAGAATTTCTTGGAAAATGTGAATTATATGTGAACAAAATGGTTTCATGGCTTTCACTCTGAAATCATAAAACTTTTTGGGGACTACTTGCTGGATGACCACAGACCATTATAGGTCCAGGTACTTCAAGAAATACCCAACTAAAAAGTATACAGAAAGAAAATTTATCTCTACTTTACTCTTTTGTTCTTTAACATCTCTACAAATAAATCAAAATAAAAAGTTCCTCTGTAGAGAGCATTTTCTGAATTGGTAGAAGGTTGGACTAGATTATTTCTAAGATCTTTTCCAACTCTTAAGATTCTAAGTTATGCTGTTAATATGCCTGAGTTTACAGAATAGTCAATAATCAGAACCCAATAATTCTTTAGAATTGCAGCCAGAGCTAATATAGAATTCTTAAGCATGAATAATTTCACGTATTCACTCAGTACATATTTACTGTGTGTCTAATATGTGCCAGGCACTATTCTAGGTACTGGGGATATGCAGTGAAAAATACAGACAAAGACCTTGCTCTCATGGATTTTATATCGAGAGAAGGAGATGGACAATAAATAAATAAAATCTAAATATCAGATGATAGGAGTTAAGAAGGAAAATAAAATCTAGCCCGGGCAACAGAGTGAGACTCTGTCTCAAAAAAAAAAAAAAAAAAAAAAGAAGGAAAATAAAGCAGGACAAAGGAATAGAGAGTGTAAGGGGAGGAGACAGGGGGCAAAGAAGGATAATGAAGGCAGAACGTGATCAGGAAAGGCCTCACTAATAAGGGAATGTCTGAGCAGATATCTGGATGAAGTGAGGGAGCAACAATGTGGAAATCTGTAGGAAGAGCACTGCAGGCAAAGGAAACAGGAAGAACAAAGCACCTGAGGCACAAGTAGATCTGGTCTGCTTATGTGTCTTAAGCAGAGTAACCAGGGGGGAGGGAGGGGAGAGAGAAGATCAGAAAGCAGGGATTATGAGGGTATGGGAGGATTATGGTGAGTCTGGGTGAGGACTTCAGTTTTTATTCTGAGTGAGATGGGAAACTATTCGGAGGGTTTGAGCAGAGAAGTGACATGATCTGACTTATATTTTTAAAGGATAACTCAATTTGCCTTATGGAAACCAGACTATAGGGCAATGACAGTGCTAACAGGGAGACCAAGTAGAAGTAATCCAAATGACAAATGAGGATGATTGGCCAGACTGTGGTGGAGGTAATTTAGTACAGTGTTGTGGTTAGCAGGCAAAAATAACTTCTGAGATAGTCTGAGATGACAGTGACACCTTCTGGCTCAGATAAAATCTTACAAAGTTTAACACTAACAGAAGAAACCCAATGTAAAAGCAAAGAATGAAGTCCCTACAGGAGGGACTTCTGTAGTTTAAAAGTATTTTGTAATTCGGCAGAACCTAACAGATCCCAACAAACTGTACCCAAAGAATAAGACGGTGGTCCTCAAAGGAGACTGCCCTGGTTAGCTGAGGGATCTGAGTTAGAGGCAAGGGCCTTCTCCCTTGAGTGTGTCTATAAATGGCCCTGGGGCTTGTCTGTGGAATGTTCCCAAAGATAACCGGGGAGCTAGGACAGAGAACACATGAAATAGCTGCACTGTACACTGCAGGCCCGTGTGCTCTCACTCATAATTCATGCCCTGTCTGTGACTGACCAAATGAGGCTGTGCCTGAGAAATAGGAAGTGTGAGCACCTCACAGAACAGAGGATTGTGATTACGTTACTTTAAATTCTTACATGATTTACTTTCTGATTACACACAAGCTATTTCTCATTATCATTTCCAGTTCTAACCTTGAAGTACTAGAGACACATCTTTTTCTGGGACAGGCTGTCAAAAATTCTTTTCAGTCTTATTTGGAAATACTAAACATCAACTGGATATCAACATTTATAACAAAGCAAAAGGTATACTTCATAAGGCCAGACAAAATGAGTATATTACTTTAATTTTGTATACAAGAGACCCCTTTGGGCATAAATAAGAAGGGAAATAGATATAAATAATTCAATTTTATTCACCTTCCTTCCACTTAAAAATAATCATTATAGCCCATGTTACCTTTTGCATAAATATCTGAAATCCTGTACACCAGATGGTGATAAAAAGGTGACTTACGGAGTTATATTAAGAAAAAAGAGAGGCCGGGCGCGGTGGCTCATGCCTGTAATCCTAGCTCTCTGGGAGGCCCAGGCGGGAGGATTGTTTGAGCTCAGGAGTTCGAGACCAGCCTGAACAAGAGTGAGACCCCGTCTCTACTAAAAATAGAAAGAAATTAATCAGACAACTAAAAATATATAGAAAAAATTAGCCGGGCATGGTGGTGCATGCCTGTAGTCCCAGCTACTCGGGAGGCTTAGGCAGGATTGCTTGAGCCCAGGAATTTGAGGTTGCTGTGAGCTAGGCTGACGCCACGGCACTCTAGCCCGGGCAAAAGAGTGAGACTCTGTCTCAAAAAAAAAAAAAGAAAAAAGAGGACTAAGCCTACCGTGGTGATGTAGCGGGAGTGGAATTCTGGAGCATCTTTCAGGAACGTAAGACCAGGGTGTGTATCCACCACATCCTGAAAAAGATCAAAACCAAAACTAAATTAACAAACATCCAACAATTATGCCTACAGAATTTTTTACCTTCTGTATAATACATTACCAGTTGAGCAACCTTGCTATTTTATAATATTGAACAATGCACTTAAAATTTAATAAATACTTTATTAAATTCAAGTTTTATTACAAGTATACATATGTGTGCTTTTCTGTATGTACAGTATACTTTAATAAAGTCAAAATTTTAATTTAGCTATATTTGGTGATCTGTGACTCAAATGTCTTGGAGGTATGCAGTTATAATTCTAACACATCAAAGTATGTCAGGGAAATTCATCCCACAAATCTTGGTAGAGGTTGCTAAGTGATATTTATACAGAAAAGATGTGACAGACATAAGCCCATGAGAACGATTCTTCTTCTTAACTTTCTAGAAACATGAGAAATTTTTGAAAAAAACAGCACATGTAGCCAAGTAGTTTGAAATCTGCCCATGTTAAGTTGTGTGAGCCAGCTAATGTCCATCAGTTTTTGTCATAATAATTGTGTGGACAAAACCATTTTCAATTTAGGATTTTATTCATTTCTAAATCTGGTATCTTGTTCTTACTGAAGAATGTTAGAATATTAAAACCCTAAAATACTGTTTTTATTTTCTAATTAGATTTTTAAAGCACTTTGAATGCGTCTAGGGAAACTATCAGAGGTAATTACTGTTAATTTAATAATCAGAGGAAGCAGCAATGCCAACATAGGTAGAACCTATTAATATTGGCTAGTCAACAATGAATAGACATTAGTTATATCTCTCGTCTTTGTTTCTTCAGAGCAGTTAGCTATACATAACTACCAATATATAGTCTCAAACCAGTGGACCTTACTATTTCTTAAGTTTTTATTTGGAAATAATTTTAGACCCACAAAAAATATTGTAGAGAAATTTCCTATGTCTCTCTCCCAGCATCCCATAATGGTAATAACTCACAAACCATTGTATAATCGTAAAAACCAGGAAATGAACATTGATACAATACTAAACTACAGACCTTATTCAAATCTCAGCAGTTTTTTCTCAATGTCTTTTTCTGTTCCAGGATCCTACACTGTATTTAGTTTTTGTGTCTCACTGTTCTCCTACAATCTGTGGCAGTTCCTCAGTCTTTCCTTGTCTTTCATGATTTTGATGATTTTAATGAGTTCCGGTCAGTTATTCTACAGGATGTCTCTCAATTTGCTTTTGTGTGATGTTTTGTCATGATTAGATTAAGGCTACACATTTTTGGTAGGAATATGACAGAAGTGACATTGTGTCCTTTTCAGTGCATACATAATATAGGGGGTATGTGCTATCGATATGTCTTGTATCTGGTGATGTTAACTTTCATTATACTTGGTTCAAGTGGTGTCCTCTGTGTACTCCACCGTAAAGTTAACTATTTTCCCTTAATAACTGATAAATATCATGGGGGAGATACTTGGGGACTATGCCAATATCCTATTTCTTCTCAGACCTTTTCCCACTGATTTTTAGCATCTATTGGTGGATCATGACTGCAACATTTATGTTATAGTGTTTATCTAATGGTGACTTGTATTTCTCCCATTCTGTCTACATTTGTAATTGGAATTCTTCTATAAGGAAGAGCTGTCCCTTCTCTCCCATATATTTGTTCAATTTATATCAGTACAGACTCATGGATATTTATTATATGGGTTATAATGCTGTACTACCATTATTTATTTTGTTGCTCAAACTGATCTAGCTTTGGCCATTAGGAGCTCCTTCAGGTTGGTTCCTGTGTCCTCTTGACATGCCCTTGTGTCCTTTTGTGGGCACTTCTATATTTTCTGGTACCATAAGATGGTCCAGGTTTACCTTGTATTTTCCTTGCCCCAGCCCTGGTATCAACCTTTACTCCAAGAAGCCTTGGTTACTTTCATTGGAGAATGGTATTTAGAAACCAAATCTATGTGTGACATGTGCCCATTACTACTAGGCCATCTTAGCAGGTAGAACTAGGAAATAGATGTATGTGTACTAATCCATGCACATATACATATCTATATTCTTTCTAAATCTGGCTGTATATACAGTAAAAACTATGTCATCATAGAGATAAATGATTCCAATCTAACATCACAAGGTTCATTCTAGCTTTTCTCCTTTCCTTTGTAACTTCTTTTACTAACAGTGAGAAATTGGGCTCTCATTATCTGCAATATATTCACCTATTTGTTCAATCCTATTATAGTAACAGAATTGCTAACATATACACAAGTGATAAATTCTAACTAGAGTACAGTATTCGTGTATAGCTCCTTTTGTCTTTAGTCTTACAGTATACAGTTAAATATTGTTTTCCAAAGTTACTTAGCCTGGTTCTTTCCCTTTCTTCCTCCATCCTCTTCAAAGTAGTTCATTTCATTCGTTACTGTTAACATTCTGTTTTGGATTTCATTCCCACACATACTGGTTGACTTTAATTATTTCTTAGAAGGAGAGCATATGAAACGCTCCTATGGTTCTACGTATCAAATTTATTGTAGAATTGACATCTTTACAATATCAAGTCTTCCCACCTATAAACATGATATATCTCTTCATTCATAGAAATTTTATTTCTCTCAGAAATATTTTGAAGTTTTCAGCATATAGGGCTTACACATCTTCTGTCATATTCATCTCTAAGTATTTCATATTTTTGAGTGGTATGATAAATGATATTGTTTTTTAAATTTCAATTTCCAATTACTTGTTGCTAGTATATAGAAAGACAATTGATTTTTGTATACTGATCACATACTCTATAACCTTGCTAAACTCGTTTCTTAAATACAGCTTTAGTAGCATCCTAAAAATGTTGATGTTTTCATTTTCATTCAATTCAAAATATTTCCTAATTTTCCTTTTGATTTCTTCTCTGACCAATGGGTTATTTGGAAGAGTTATTTAGTTACCAAATATTTGAGAATTTTCCAAAGATCTGTTATCATTTCTAATTTAATTCCATTATGGTCAGGGAACAAACTTCATATGACTTGAATATTTTTAAATTTATTGAAGTTTTTTTTATGGCTCTGAATATGGTCTATCTTGGTAAATATTCTGTGTACACGAGAAAGGAAAGTTGATGGGTTAAGTGTGATATAAATGGCAATTAGTTGAGGTTGGTTGAAGTGTTGTTCAAATGTTCTATATCCTTACTGATTTTCTGTTTGTTCTATTCAGTATTAAGAGCAGTGTATGAACATCTATAATTGTGTATTTTCCTTGCAGTTCTATCAGATTTTGCTTCATGTACTTTGAAGGTCTATTATTAGGTACATAAACATTTAGAACTGTTATGTCCTCGTGATGGACTGATCCCTTTATTATTCCCTAGCAATACTATTTGCTCTAAATACTACTTTGTCTGATACTAATATAACCACCCAGCTTTCTTTTTTTATTGTGGCAGAAAAAGCACATAAAATTCACCCTCCGAACAATTTCCAACAGTACAGTACAATATTGTTAACCACATGCACACTATTGTGCAACGGATCCCCAGAACCCCTCACTCCATCCTGCATGACTGAAAGTCTATACCCACCAAACAACAATTTAGTCCTCCCCCAGTCTCTAGCAACCAACCTATATTTTTCTAAGTTTCACTACTTTAGATACCTCACATAATTGGAAATATATAGTATTCACCTTTTTGTGACTTGTTTATTTCCCTCTCCATGTCCTTAAGATTCATACATGTTATAGCATATAACAGGATTTCCTTTTTTTAAGGCTGAATAATATTCCATTGTATATACATAATGTATTGTCTTTATCTGTTTACCTGTCAAATGATGCTTAGGTTGTTTTCTCACGACACTTCATCCTTCCACATATTGTTGTGTATCACTAACCAGGGAAGCTCAATTGAGCTTCAGTGTTCAGAGTTTTTATTGAGAGTTTTTATTCAGAGTTTTATTGTGTAGGCATAATCGATTGAATCATTCATTGGCCATGTTACTGAATTCAATCTCTAGGCCCCCTCCCCTTGAAGGAGTTGAGGTCGTATCACTTGGCTAAAAGCCCCAACTTTAGTCACATGGTTGGCCTTTCTGGCATGGCAAGTACTCACCCTGAAACTATCCAGGGCCCACCATGAAAAACAAAGACATTCCTATCATTTAGGAAATTCCAAGGGTTTAAAAGTGCTGTCCTAGGAACCTGGGACAAAGACTTGAAAAATTCTTTATTTTAAAACATCCCTTCCTTCCATCTATATTATATGTACATTAGGCTGCTTGAAGTTGTCCCACAGCTCACCAATGATCTTTACACTTTTATTTTTATTCTCAACATATTTTTTCTGGTTTCTTGGACCATTTATTATTTAATTTTAATTTATTATACATTACATTTGTATTTATCTATGGGTACATGTGAAATTGTGTTACCTACATGGAATGTGTAATGATCAAGTCAGGATGTTTAGGGTATCCATCACCCAAATATTTATTATTTCTATGTGTTGGGTACATTTCAGGTCTTTCCTTCCAGCTATTTTGAAAAATACAATACATGGTTGTAAACTATTGTCACCCTACTCTGCTATCAAACATTAGAACTTATTCCTTCTATTTAACTGTATATTTGTACCCTTTAACTGACCTCTCTTCATCCCCCCTCCCATCCATACATTCTTCCCAGTCTCTGGTATCAATCATGCCACTCTCTACCTCCATGTGATTTCCTTTTTTAGCTCCCACATGTGAGTGAGAACATGTGATATTTGTCCTTTTCACTTAACATAATGACCTCCAGTTCCATCCATGTTGCTGCAAATGACATTACATTCTTTTTTATGGCCAAATAGTATTCTATCATGTATAAACACATATATAGATACAAGATATGTAGATATACATATAGATCTATATATATCCATAAAGATCTGGATATCTTTATCTATTCATTTGTTGATGGGAATTTAGGATGATTCCATATCTTTGACATTGTGAATAGTGCTGCAAT